CGCAGTTAACCTAATTCAAGTTTTGCGCAAAAACGCATGATCGGACCGGCTCGTCTGGTGCGTTCCAGCCTGGGTTTTTAGTGGTACTTTCCTACGCAGAAAGAATTGCTCTACGTGACTTTCAGAGTCAGACGATAATGACCATGACAAGGACACGCCGTAAGCAAAAACAGGAGATGGTTCGACGTGCTGTGCACGAAGCTGATGAGCGGGAAAGCAATTTACGCCAAAAATTTTTACTTCGCGCAACAGCTGTTGTACAGCAGGCAGCCTATGAGCCAGCCCTATTTCACCACCAAACGCAACTGGTCGCTGACACTGTTGGAGAAGGCTAGAATTTTGAATTCTCGAAATTTTAAAACACTTTTTAAAGGTCCTAAAAAATTTAAATTTCTTGCTTTTCCGCGTAGTACCAGAATACCTTTCTGCACAATCGTTCGATCATTTGACCGTTACCTTTATAAATTGCTTTTTTTTTCGAAAAATGGAATTGTGGATGTACTATAGAATGCGATATGCACCCAAGCTCATCGCGTCAGCAGATGCCCGTGGCGCAGCCACTTTTTCCATCATCGCTTCTCTCCGTGGTACCGACAATCATCGAGATGCTTGACGATGTGCAGTTGGACAGTAAAGGGAAGTCAGGTAACTGTTCTGCTCCTTAAAATGTTCACTATGCTCGCCTCGAAAAATTTAAAAAAATGGTAATTTATTGTACGATCCAAAAAATATTTTGATGCAAAAGCGGAGTATCTGACTGTAGCCACACCGTTGATCGATAACTAATGCTTATAATAATTTTAGTGAGTGATATTGCCAAGAAGATTATCTGGTCGTGCATCGTTGAAGACCCTGCGCTCTTTCTGCGCCATTTTTTGGAAAAATTAACGAATCGGGACCGTCAGGCAAGTTTGAGTTTCTCAACTAATTTTTTGGAAAAGAAATTCAGAATGTGCTATTAACTGATAATTAATGCCTTTACATGACTAAGGTTTTCGAGGGATGGAGGAAGAGGAAAGGAGCGTGAATTTGCTTAAGGGGTAGAAAGTGGAAAATTTATGTTGTTGAAACAGTCATGCCGGAAATAACTTTATCACCTCATCTCCCCGTCTTTTACACGCAGCCCTCTTTAGTCATCAAATAATTAACGGGTAATCCAAAATATCAATTTATTCTTCTAGCTCACAAACACACCTGTTGTACTTAACAGCTTTCGATG